ATTTCTTTTTTAATTTCTACTCATAACAGAGTTGAGGAAACGCCAAGGGGCGCCGCTGTTGAACTCAAGATCTGGGGATCTGACCCGGGTCGTTACTCCCCTAGGCTCAGAGAACCTATGTCTGAGAAACCAGTTGATTGGCATCTAATTCGTCTGAAAAGATAAAAAGCTCTGATTACTCTATCAGCTGACCATCTCTAGTTATATATAGGCCAGAAAGAGTAAAAGCGGACCACGCTTTCCGACTATTTTTTACGATTTTTTTGTGATTAGTGCTACTCGAGGTGCGCTGTTATTGCTTTGCTGTAAATTGACTTTAACTTCTTGGTTTGCTGTAATACTTGCTAGTAAATATATGGTAATGTTATTTGGAATCAATATGGAATATCATGGTGTTGCTAAATGTCACATACGCGAAGAGACGGGCAGTTGAACCGGTTTGTGCAATCGGTTTGCCGCACGCGCACGCGGCAGTCGCGGACCATTTGTCTCGTTGCTCTTCATGCAGCTCAATCGATATGCGAGTGCTATTTTTGGCATGATTCTACTGTTACGGCTTTTGTTCCTGTTATCCTACTTCCCGCTTCATTCTGCTACACTCCTTCGCGCGCGACCTCGCTTCACCGCGCAGCGAAAATTTCGATTCAACTGCACCACGCTCGCTACTGCTTCGTTTAGAAAGCACACATACGTAGTAAGCCGGTGTGCAGCAGTGAGGAGTATTCTTCAAAAAAGAGGACGTCAAAAGTTCCAAGAAAGGTCAAGAAGGGTAAGAGGACAGAAGTGCCTGTCNTCAGAACAACAGAGTTTTAAAGGACGAAATGGGGACTTGAACTTCCTCAAACGATGAGCTTTAGTGGGGCTGTATATGCGTAGCGCCTATAATCTTGACATCGCTTGGTCCAGAGCCAGCTTTGGGGGTACCAACTTAGCTTGGTGAGACCTGCTGGCCGGTGAGTCCTTTCTGACGCCGACTTGCAGCCACATGCAATTTGATTTGATTGATAACAAGTCAAAGTGGTGTACACAGTTGAGTCGTAAATTTATTTGACCAGAGAGATTGATGTGTCTTTCCGAAACGGCAAATTGATTTTCATATCGTGAGCTCTGTGAAGAAAAAATCGATGAATGCAAATGATCGAAGTAGCATCCCTTGAAAATGTTGCGGAATGTTCATTTCTTTTTTCTAAAAAAAAACTTTTGATAAGGATTTTAGAGGTGAATTCGGGAGTCCCGGACAAAACAAAACGGTGACGGCAGTAAATCATGCAAAGGATGAAGTTGTTAACTTTGATCGGTGATTTGCAGTTGGCCTGAGCGGGATTCGATCCAGGGTTTATGAGATCATAGGGAACATCATGGCCTGAGCCACTTCACCACTTTGTTCAAATCATTTTTGGCGAGAAATCGAAATGCATAATGTATGAGTATAGAACGAAACATGGAAATATAATAAAATAATAAAAAATATGAATATGAATGTGAATTTGAGGGCTTGCGATGAATATGTGTGAACGGAGGTGTCCTTGTGATTACGAGGACGGTGTTTCTCCAGGAGTTTTCGAAACGGAATTCTTGGGGTATAGCTGTTTTCTTTATCGAATTCGTCTTCTGAAAGGGTTAAAATCGGTAAAATCGGTATGAAAAATAATTACGTGTAGCAAGTCAAGCTCATTATGCCGCTGAGTAGCTCATCAACCATCCAAACGTCCGAGCAATCTCGCATGGGAGTCACATGCATGGCTTGTCCCCAAAAATTAATTGATCTCAAACCAATTGGAGCAAAGTTTGCCTCACTAGATGGTTTGAAAACTTATCCCAGTAAACAATTACTACTTGAGAGCATACATTATCGATTGCGAGCATAGCGGAGCTAAACAAGTGAACTGCACTTGTTCATAAGTTGATTCGGACAAGGAGGAACCTCGGGAACCTCACGTGACATGGCTTGTTCCCAAAGGATTTCAGTTTGAGCAAACAAGTTTGCGCCAGTACATTTTAGATGTCTAGAATGGCTTATCACATTTCCAAAACATAGACAAACGACTTTACCCGTTACTGGTAACAACGTTCTGTGACAATCTTTCATTAGAAGAACTTCTGAGTACCCGAAAATTATGCTCAGAAAATCAACGCCCTATCGCTAATATTTGCCCTATAGGAGGTTTTTGGCCCTTTTCTACAAAACTTCTTGAATCACGTATTTCCAATCAAATCGAGGACATTCCTCGTATTTTTATTTCTA